TGGCTGTTCTCTTAGTGACTCCGTCACATAAAATTGACTTCTCCAAGGGCAGCAGAGAATTCGCCTACAATCAAGTTTCCTCGACTCTGCTTATTGAAATCTCGAAATTGTTTAGCTACTCCGTCACGAATTTCGGCCGCGTGTTGATCACCATACTTGGCTCTATCTGCGTCTGTAAAGCAACGATAGAGATGTTGGTCGACGATGGTAAAGTCTTCGCGTGCTCCCGCCCAAGGGCAATACTGTTCACTATGCCAAGCTGAGTTGGGAGATTCAGTTACGCAGGAACTCAACTCGGGACAAAATTCTGACCATCGGCTATGTAGAGAGGAATATCAATACTAATGCCTCGGAGGTCCTTTAGTGTCCAGGCATACCACTCAGGCAGCCAGTCCATGTTATTGGGCTCATTTAGGAGCTCGATTCCGACCACATTGTCGTAGTTGTTGACTTGAGAGAGAAGCACATGCAGGGCGAATGTGGTGGCATCTGCGTTTTTGTCATCCCACATGCGCACCTTGCCACTACCAGTTCCAGAATGAGCATCTGGGTTCTGAGCTCCTGGAGCGGCATGTAGATCTGATGAATGATCAGATGGTGACACATTCAACTAAAGAGTATTAACCAAGAAGTACTCCTATGTGGTAACGATTTGCGGCCGCAATGGCCTTCTCTACATATCCCCATGCGCCTTCAAAGACACTTTGAAACCCGCCGAAATCTGTGTTGTGAATTACTCGGGGTTCTACACCGCAGAGGTGATAATATCCGACCTACAGAGAGCGTTAGAAAACCTAACCACCTTTAATAACTACTTACTGGGATTCGAACAGTATTGTAACCGTGATCGATGATCCATTGCCAGTCTTCATCTTTGATCCAGTTTGCCCAGTGTTGTTCCAGAATTTGACGGGCATCTGGTCCACTTGCGATCTGGAGGTCGCTCTGACCAGGAGCCACCGCCGACCGAAATGGGGAAGGAGTGATCCATCTTTCGAGAACAAACCTTGGAGAAGTCAATTTTATGTGACGGAGTCACTAAGAGAACAGCCACTGACCATGAACCTAAGCAAGAGTGTTCCAGTTGCGTTCGTAAAGGCAAGCGATGGTATCTCGAATCACTCACCTAGATTCACACCACGCTGTTTCCGATAACGATATACATCTCGAGGGGTACCGAGTGTTGGGAGAGGTGCAGACATGGTCGGGGAAAAAGATTGGCCGGCGTAATGGTCTGTCACAAATCAAATAGATAAGGTCATCATCATCGTCTATAGCAAGCCCCACA